TTTTGATTGGGATTGTCTTACGTCGAAGTTGTACACGATGCGAATTTCTACGTTCCATTTTGTACAATTAAACAGCTAATTCATGGAAATCTTTGCGAAAGACTTCCAGACCCGAGAAAATCCCACGTAGAAAGTGTTTAATTCTCTTCTGTAGAGTATTAGCTACCTCTTTACAGTATTCGCTTCATAAATAAAGCAGATACTATGGAAGGAGCGAAAAGTATTTATTATTAGTGGTGCATCGACAAGTCATTCTTACTAAGAAAAAATACATACATTTTTAATTTGTCATTCTGACAAGAGTAGAATAATATTTACAAAGTACTTAAAAAAAGAGAGAAAGGTAGAAAAGAAGAGAACATCTGGTTTTCGTTGAGTCTGAATTTCTCGCCTGAGATTTCTAGCACGTGCTTATGTTCTTCTTCGAGATCTTCAAACATGCATCGAGCTTTAAAACGAAAGTCGCATCATTACATAAGAGCACGTTCTACATAAAATATAACATAAAATATTCTGTCGCAGATATAATAAAAACATCCGAAAAATATTATGATCAACATATTAGATAGAACTGTCTTGAAAGAGGACGAGAAGAATTAATGTAATCACTCTTATTTAATGCAATAATAGTTAAAACAGAAAACTTTTATCACAATATTATATTATTATTTTGATTATAATATAACATCTAATTAATACAACGTAATCTTATAATATAACGTTTAATAATTGTACTATCTTTCTCTGGTTTTATCTAATTAATTTCATAAATGAAATGTTGTGAAAATAGAAATAAACTACTTTCAGACATGCGTTAGTATCCTAATATGCAAACATTAAAAATATTCACATAATGCGCTACTACCAAGCTGTTAAAGATAATATTATAAGGGAAGGAAAGAGCAGTTATAACTTGTTAAGATAAAGGCATGTGGAGGAAGGAACAGAGGAAAGCGACGATAAAGGTAGAGTCAGAAATAACGATTTGTCATGCATAATATCCTTAAAGCCCACTTTAAACAATCTATAATTCACGACCAAATTCGGGACAAAATTCTATTTATAATAATAATTTAATTTAAGAAATAAAATACACACATACAGGAAATATATATTAATGATTATTTTATTTTTTCAAATGTTTTCTATATTAAACAGCACATAAAATTATAAATAGAATTCTGTTCTAAATCTGATCGTGAATTGTAGATCTAAAGTGTGTTTAAGAATTCATATTTTCACGTAACATGATATCATATAATTAACGATGTAAATATCGCAGCTTATAACACAATCAAATATTGGATATTACAAATAAGACTGATTTAAAAAAGAAACACAGACATCTCTTTTTAATCGTATTAATAATTAATCTTAATCACAGATAATAAAATTTACGTGATTAAATTTTAGGGGCAAGAATAAAAAAGTAAGAAAACGAGAAAAAGAAAGCAATTATTACACATTCCAGGACACTTCTAAGATCGCTCTTTCGTGGATAATATAGAGTAAAAAACACTTGTCACTGCGACATTAATCATTTTACAAAATGACTAATGAAATATCTAACTCGACGACAAGTAATTTTATCATTAACACAATTAATTTATTATTATGAGATTTAAAGAGGCATTTTTTCTTACTTATATCTTAAGCTCTAAGCTTAAAGAATATGAAGCTCCATATTCTTAAGAAAAATAGCTTAAGCTAAATAGAAAATTAGAATTTGAATAAAAAATTTATAACAATACCGACATTCATTTCTCTAGCATGCAAAATATTATACTTTTGTCAAGCATGGACTACTTGCACTGTATAATTATGCTGTACTACTGAATTATTCATTACTACCACAATATTAATATGTAAATACGGCTTGTTGCCGGTAATTAAAATTCGCACTTCCGTTTTTATTTATGCAATTTAATATATTTAAAAATAAAAATTAAAAATTTCGTCTTTTATTTATATCATACAATGCAATATGTGTTACTATTTATATCATATAATATAATATAATCGTAGATAATAAAAGTACATATACATATACATTTTTATTCCTCTTTTGCATAAATTTAATTATTTTCCAAATAACGTTTGCAAATACTATTAATTTGTTAACATATCCGTAATTTCTAATTTTTACATAATTGTTCAAAAAATAATTATACATAATAAAATCGAAATAATGATAATAAAGCAAAAAGTACAAGGAAACGAAAATGTGAATCATAATTAAGATTTGTATGTTCTATAAAAGAAAAATGATTAAACTAATATACTGAACAAATATAATATTTGTCAGATTCTTAAACGTTATAATTATAGCTGTTATAATATTTTACAAAACTAAATCGTCTATTTCTTGCTATCCCAAATACATTGAACGTCTTTCACGATCATGGACTTCAGACCTTCAACTCTTATCGACACGTACCGTGATGCACGTGCCAATTGAAGATCGAGAAAAAGAGAGAACAAACGTATATTCTCAGTGGGCCAACTGTCTCCTCATCATTTTTAATCTTTTTGTCTTGCACGATCCAATTTACGAAACTGCTAACGCCATACCCCATGCAAATTTGATTTTAGAATTTGCTTGTAGAGTTTAAAAATTAGATTTATATAATTTTCAAAATAAAAAATACACGCTAAAGTCTGATACTGAAAAAATTAATGTATTCACTGTAATCAATTCAACTATTCATAAATAACTAATTCTCTTTTACCGATTTCACGACGATAGAAAAATTGTTGAGACAATCATCCGTGTTCGTTTCTCTAAAGCTATTTGTTGCCAGCATCTTCGCCAGAAACATAAAATATTTATGTAGACGCAGCTATTGCGGGATAGCGAAATTTGAAATTTTACTATCGAAACCGGCGTACTTTAGTTCTTGCAAACTGAAGTACGTATCCACTTTCCGCCAGCAGATGCACCAGCTTTTATTTAGATCACGCAAAACTAAAGAGCTGAACGTTGTAAAATAAAACATGTATTTCAATCGTTATTCAATCAATCACGATCTACAAGCGATAATTGTAGCAATAAATGCACGCAAATAATAAATTTCCTTTAATTTTAGCTGATTATCTATCCTACATTAATTAATTTAAGGAAAAGCTTATAAACTAAAAACGAATATATATATATATATATATATATATATATATATATATATCTCGTTAAATTTTAAAATCATATTAGAGATTACATTTGTCGTTATATGAATAACATTGTTTTCCTTGTATAATATGTCGATTATAAGCAACCCGAGGGTACATTAATATCGCATCTAATTTAGCTCTCTGTTATTACATTACAGTCTATTATATTATATTCATTATTACTATCCAAATTCTACCATCATGACAATAACAGTTGCGAATTTATTCGAATCTCGTAAAATCATATTTTATTTGTATCTGTTTTGGTGAACCTATCTGTGGACAAAGATCAATCCTATCCTCATAGCAGATAATTTCCAAATTCGTCTCTATGCGCGTGGATAGGATAATACATGATCATATCGATACGAATAAATAATAATCATTTTCAGAGTTGATAGTCGATATTATGTATATCAGTGTACACTGGCTGTCGCGCAGCATATGCACGTTTATAGTGTATTATTGCACTATATACGGCGCGACGCGAATATTATTTCATACACGTGATCGTTAATTCAGGAATACGATTAAAGGTTAGCATTAGCGTTGACACTCATCTGATTCAAGTCAATGAGTCTTCGATAAACACAATCAAATTTTTAAATTGATTTACCACATTTCTCTTGCACGTCAACCGTCGTGATATTCTAAATTTTCATTTGCCAGATATTTCGCCAAAAGAATATATATGTATATTTCGCTATGCAATCAAGCCTAGGAGATTAATAGCCTTGCGGTTACCAATAACTAAACCATTTATTTTATTTCTCTCTTTTCACGGGCATATATAACGTATATTTATAATGAAAGCGTGAAACAAGATTGCCTAACGCGACTCTCATGGACGTAATCTAATTTAGATTAAACGTGTAGTCTCATACATGGCGACGCCAGTCCTTGCATGCGCATTTAAATAGGTGTGTTATATCGTTCGTATAATATTCTCACAGAACATGCAAATGGATACATGATCCAATCGACTCTGTCCGGATTCTGCTTGGTAGATATAGAAGACCCAAGTTGACAAAAGCTTAATCACGGACAAGATTGAACTTCTAATCTGCAACCATGTCCCCTTGATCACTTGATCTTCGTTTATTACACTCATTCGGTGGAAGATTGGTTCTCCATAAGTGTTTGTCGTTAAAAGTAAACATTATTTAACAATTTTCTTTGACAATTTTCGTATCAAACGAGAGAAAAATTAACAGGATAAATATAATTAAACATGCGTGAGCGAAAAATGAAAAGTGATGTCGATGATGTGTATATATAGAAAAAGATGAAATAAATTACAGAAAAGTATTTTCCTCTTAATCTTCAGTTTCTGCATAAGATTCAGTAATAGATTGTTTTTAAAAAAAATCGGGACTTTGTAGTTGCAATGAATAATTAAAACGTGCGTGAACAAAAAACGAAATTTTATGATGTGTATGAAGGAAGAAAGAGATGAAACAGATTACAGAAAAATATGCTAGAGTAGCACTTTCCTCTTAGTCTTTGGCCTTTGCATGGTTCAACGATGGATTAGCTTGGAAAAAAGAATAGAGGCTCCCAACTGCAACGTAGAAGAAAGAAAGCTTCGCGTGTCACAACGCAAGATCGAGCAAGATGAAGAAAAGTGCGATGTAGGAAGAGGAAGTGGAAGGAAAAACCGTATGAGAGAGAAGGGATAGCATTAGAAGAAGAGCGGAGGAAAGTACGGAGACTGCGTGAGAGTGGGAAAACGTGGTTGTAGGGGGTGAGGTGGAGAAGCGATAGAGCGAAGTTGGGCAGAGAGGGAGGCACCGACAGAGACAGAGAACGAGGGTTGGTTTGCCGAGCTCAGTTACGCCGCGCCCCTTGCGATGAGCGTTGCACCATACGAGTGAGATCGCGGTATCTCCGACAGGGTGATTGCTCTCTTCTTCTCCACACTGCCACTTTTCCTCCCTTTTTCGTGGTAGTGCAAATAAAGCGACGCGATTGTTGATGCGTCAAAAAGCTAAGGAAAGCTCCTAGTCTCGTAAGGGTACAGGTAGCGCGTTAGAGGTCCACGTGTTTCCCCATCGGAAAATTAACAGCCAACTTTGCCCACATTCGCATTAATTTTCTTCCTTCCGATTTCTTAATTAAAAAAAAGGCACACTGCCAAATAATTTGATATCATAAAAATAAACTGTTTATAAAAATATTAGAGTAAGAAAGGCGTGAGGAAATTGCAAGGTAGTGTCACGCGGAAATTAAGTGTGTTAAAGCGAAGACAACATGCGACGAATACATTGATTGAAATTATGCACTTTCCGGTTTTGTGTATAACGAACAATGTAGTTTCTAATTAACATTGGTGATTGCTTATTCTCGTGCAAATTTCACTCGAGAGACTTTCACCAAGATAAAGTATCGTTTAAATCAAAATAACTCAATCGTAAAGCTGTGCGAATCGTCGTCTTCCGGAAAGAACTTAAACTCCGGCTGTTTGAATTTCAAGTTTAATTTATATTACCACGAAGCAGACAAATGCTTGCAACGATGTAGATGTAGTGGCAAAATTTTAACAGATAAGACTTTAAAGAAGGAAGCATGAACATGATTGAGTGATGCAATGCGTGAATTCGTTTGAAAAGTTTCCGAATAAGAAGATATGAAGTAACCGAAACTTTTAAAATCTTTGCCAGACGGAATTGGATTGGATGAAGCGAAGTCGAGGAATGATGTAATTTTGAGGCCAATTCATCTAAGGTAAATACTTTATGTTTTTGGCACATGCTTTCAGCTGTTTAAATGGCACCTGGTTCATCTGAATAATGAAAAAATTATTTGTTGTTTTTATGTCTCTTATTTTGCCATGTTAAAAAAAATCAGTTATTTTTCTAAATAATGCAATGTTGGTTTTTGTAAATACTGCAAAGCTTTGAAAATTTTGCGTTTAGCATGGTATGGGAAAGATAAAACACAACAAAAATTTTATAACTTTGTCACAATCTCTGTGTAGAAATATTTTTTACTGAAAATTTTTTACATAATATTTTATTATACATAAACACAGCGTTGGTCTAATATATATTAAAACGCAGTTTTATGGGATCTATTGCATAATTATATTGAGGCAAATGTGATTTTCCTTGTAATAAAAATCATGACACCACAAAGAATTTTTAACAGACGAATTCAGGGCTATTTTAAAGCTGCATGTTGTATATAGGAACTTTATCTAAAAATGCATACATGACATTCGCAAAAAAATATACATGTATACACTACATGTATGTACTACAATATACGCAACTTTGTAAGATAATATATACATAAAAAAATATCGTTACACAAAACTAAAAGTACAAAAAACAAAAACAGCATTGTTCTTGCAATTTGAGAAAAATACGCCAAATTCCGCACTTGTCTCGCATTTTTTAGCTACAAAAACTATAGTGAACTAGGTCGGAATACAAAACGTATTGGCACGCTGCATTTATTTACGAACTGTAATCCTACAAAAAGGGAATGACCTAATAAATCTATGCTTTCTAGCATTCTACACCGTACTGGCATTTCTGTATAAACCCATGTTTATTGTCCGCAAAATGAATTAACCATGGATCTCAGAGAACTGGAATTTTCGGACAGTCAAATGTCTTTGATGTCACGAACAAGTTATTACGAACAATCAATTGTACGTTCCATGCGAACGAACGAGGCAACGCGGATGGATGCGCAGGAAATCGAGGACGGAAACTTGAACAAGCTTTTAACCACCTAGACAGAAATGTCGAGGATGCAGCCAGCAGGATTCATTCTTAGCGGCAATTTGAACTTGCTCGATTTAGGCTTGGAGAACAAATATACGTTCTAGTTTTAAAAGTCAAGCTTTCCAACAACTAAATTGGCAGAAGAGACTCTACCGTGCGCGTGTGCGAGAGACAGTTGTCCCACTCTATCGAATTGTCTACAAACATCTAGGTCAAAGCGGCCAAGACCGATAGGAGAACTTGAACTCAATCGTTGACTTTGTCCCCTATTGCTGATTTTCGCCTGTTTAAACGTCTCATCCTTTTCTCGAAATCGGATGCAATGTACTATAGTAAATAAACTGCCCTTACAGAATTTCAATTTAACTTTCCAGCACCACACTCTGAAATTTTCGATTATAGTTTACTCTGAGCAGTTGAGGGAAACAGCATACATTTTTTATGGTTCCGGATAAGAATCTGAAAAAATTCTTGTATACTTATAAAAAATAAATAAAATACAGTCTAGTTTTTATTGTTGTTAAAGGTAGATTAAAAATTACAGTTTAGTTTTTACTTATAATAAAAACTAAACTGTATTTTATTTATTTTTTACATATTGAAATCTGAATAAAAATTTTTAGAAAACTATCGATTATGCTTTAAAAAGCACAAAGTGATGCTAAGGGTTCACACTGAGAAATTATTTATTTTGAGAATTAAAAGCACTGAACAACAGTTCCTTAGTATTAAAGTTGTTCTTCAGTGCTTTTAGACTCAATATAATTAATCCAATATCAAATTTCTGTAAAGGGTAAATAATAGATACAACTCTGTTAGGCTTATAATTTAATTTCTTTCAGTATTATATTATTTTTAACGATTTGCAGGCTATATACATCTCTCTCTCTCTCTCTCTCTCTCTCTCTCTCTCCCTCTCTCCCTCTCTCTCTCCCTCTCTCTCTCTCTCTCTTTCTGATAAATTACAAATTATTGGCAGATGTTTCGCAGAAGTTTGACAGAGATTTGTTGAATTGTATTACATTCGTAATTAATCAAAACGTCAGTGCGATAAAAATCGATCGTTTAATAATAACAAAGTGCAACATAAAAACAACAATGTAACGATAATTTAATTAATATTCAAAATATTTATCAACATGTAAACATTTTTAACTCAAGCCTGTAAATTTGACACTAAAAAAGTACGGATTTTTTTTCTCGTATTTGAGGCCAAACAGTCTCAATTATAAACAAATCAAAGTTGTTGCGCCTGAGCATTTTATCAGCTGGTTTTCACTCTTTTTCGTGACAGGCGAAGGAGACACCGTCGCTGTGAAAATCCGACAAGCTTTCCGCTTTTTGTCAAAAGATTGGATGATTAATCATACCGTCCTATATCCTCTTGTGCCCTTTAGCCTATGTATGTGTCTACACATACGCGATACGCAGTTATTCCCACGCACACATGCGTCACTGGGCCGTGTACCTTTTAGCGAACGAGAATTCATCAACGTCTAAAACTAGAGAGAAGCTTTCGTGAGTGATTGACCTCGTGCTAGACCTTGTCGTTCCGCGTTGTTTCATTCCCAAGTCTAATATTTCTAATTCAATAGCCCAATACTTTTAGCACGTCCAATTCTACCCGAATGTATCACGATATTTGAAAGGAATGAAGATGAATTATTATTAGCACTTTACGATGTTTGGTACAATTCATCAAACCAACTATTAAATTCAGCACATGCTCTTTCTTTCTCAGGATAACTTTGTATTTAATTACAATCCATTTAAGTTTTCCATGACTCTATTAGATTTTCAAGATCCTATCAACGTTCATAAATTTAATCATCGTTTTGTAATACGATTTTAACTTCATAATATCATACTGTCAATCACGTCGCCAAAAATTACGTCTAGACTAATAAAAAAACTGCAGACTTTTATATCAAGAAGTTTAGTTGCCTCCCTATTCTTCTTCTTTTCTCCCTCTTCCCCCCCCCCTCTCTCTCTCTTTAAAGGTAGATATAATAAAAAATAGATCTTGCTATTTCATTGGATACTCGATTCATGTCTTTCTCGGTTCTCTCTTTCTCTTCTTTGATTACTGTAATTTTCAGTAACTTAACTAATCAACAGAAACTCGAGGTTAAACGATTAATTAACGCTTGCATGCGTTTCATTTTCAACTTGTGCAGAGATGAACACATCTCGCACTGCTATGATGCGCTGAGGTGGTTCTCCGCAAATGACAGAAAAACCTATCTCAATTCTCACTTGCTGTTTCTTTATTTTCCATTATTCGTTCCGGTATCCCTTCCTACATTGCTTTCAACCTCCATCAATCCTTGTACCACTTCTTTAGACCTAGCTTTCTCTTCCTATAGAACCTCTACCTACCAGTGCTTCTTTCATTACGCTGGCATCACAATGTAGAACTCGTTTCCAATTACGGTCAGAAAATCAAAGACACTTAGCATAAAACATGTTTTTTCTGTTATCTACGATAGCGTGAGACAAGCTAATTTTCGCAATTTCCTTTCATTTCCACATGTACCTATCTGTGCATTACCTTGTGTTTTCTTTTTTTCACTTTTATAATCTATGTAATTTTTATTTCTTTATTTTATTTGTATTATTTTTTGCATTTTCTTTTGTTATTTTATATTTTTAGTTCCTTTGCTTTTTTGTTTTTTTTCTTTTTCTACAAATATTTCCTTGAAGTCGCCCTTTCCTTCGTCCTAGAATATTAATAAACGCCATTATCTATTTATTTATCTATTTCTTTCTTTCTATTTCGTTTTTTTTTCTTTCTCCTTTCCTCATCGATATGCAATTTAGTTTTAAACACACAAATTTGCTCAATTCATCAACATTGACCTCATTCAATCTCGTCTCACCATTTAATCTGCATGAGATAGGTACGTACGATTAGACGATTCTGCGGAAACGGAGAACCATTCGGTATTCCGCGCTTATCCACTCGCTCAATGGCCTCCACAATCCACGTTAGCCATGTAGTCCGAATTCAACCGTGGATAGCCGGAAAGCTTATGAGCTTTTCAACGCACGGATCAACGGGAGTTTGAAGCCTACCGAACAAGGATGACATAATCATGATATATATGTATCGTGGTCGATCGATTTCCGTATCTCAAACCGTTTCCTGATCCCTGAATAAACACTACCGTGTAATGTCATACGGTATTTAAGTCAAGCTACGTAAATTGCATATGCGGTTGTCGGTATCATTTGCAGCTAATTATCTGCTTTCTCTGCATTGTATTACAGCAAAGATATATTGTACATTTCAGATTATTAACCCTTACCCTATTAAGGGAAGTCACTAATTACCGAGCAATTCCTGTTCGTGCAAGTTTCTTTGCGTCTTTTGGTAATTATAAATTGTACTATATTTTATTATTTTTCAAAATAAAATATAGCCAATATTTATTCTAGAAAGTTGAAAGTATGTTGGTGAATTTTTAGAGATTTTTTTAATCATTCTGAATAGATGAAAAAAAATGGACGGATTCCGTCCATCAGGATGGATGAAACATCAAATTGTATCTAATAGGGTAAGGATTAATATTCTTTTAAGATATCTACGGGCACAATATTATTAAATTGTTTGTCAATTTATTTATGATACTCTAATTCTCTTAGCATCATATTTCAAGACTGAAAATTAAATTCGGTGCGCGGTTTGCAGGATTGAAATTGTATATAAATTCACATCAAATTATTTAGACACTAAAAATGCATGATCGTTTAAAGGGCTTCTAAAAAGTCGTCTGTTTTACCAATTTAATATTATAGGATTTAAGATCATGGCATAAAAAAACTTAAAACTTAAGTAGGCAAATTGATCAATCACAGTAGAGATCATAATGTAAGCAGTAGAATCCAACATGTTGATTTCCTTATTGCTTAAAAGTTTTAAGTTTTTCTGTGTGCCATGGCCTTTAATCACATAATCATAGCATGTAAAGCCACTGAAACAATAAGCATCCG